ACCCATGGCCAACCCCCCACCCAAACCTCCCCTCCCCTCCATCTGGAGAACATCCTTTGTCTCTAGGCCTTCCTCTCCTCGCCCCTGCATGGAGCCTTCCTCCGCCTTCCTCCCCCTCCTGGGGCCCCACCTGAGGCCACCTTTCTGGCAAGACCCTCCCTGGCTTCCCACCCGTTGGCTCTTCACCTTCAGATTTTTTTTTTTTCTTTTTTAGCCTGAGTCTCACTCTGTCACCAGGTTGGAGTGCAATGGCCCTGTCACGGCTCACTGCAGCCTTGACCTCCTGGGCTCAGGCAACCCTCCCACCTCAACCTCCCGAATAGCTGGGATTACAGGTGTGTGCCACTGGGCCTGACTAATTTTTGGAATTTTTGTAGAGGAGCGGTCTTACAGTGTTACCCAGGCTGGGCTCGAACTCCTGGGCTCAAGCGATCCGCCTGCCTCAGCCTCCCAAAGTGCTGGGATGACAGGCGTGAGCCACTGAGCCTGGCCCGACCTTGAGTTTTATTGTAACTGCCTGTCTCTTGCAGCAGCTGTTGCAGGCCTGTCTCCCCGGTGCCCTCAGAGCTCCACAAGGCAAGGGTCAGCCTCCCATGGCTTCTCCTCACACCCACCCCAGGGCCTGGCACATGGGTGCAGAGGGATGTGTATTGGCACTAGTGGATCTCAAACTTGAGCAGGTGTGAAAGTCATCTGGGAGTTTGTAAAAAAAAAATCCCACAGATCTGGCTCTGGGCACAGTGGCTCACACCTGTTATCCTAACATTCTGGGAGGCTAAGGCAGAAGGATTGCTTGAGTCCAGAAGTTCAAGGACAGCCTGGGCAATACAGCAAGGCTGTCTCTACTTGAGGCATGCCTCAAGTCCCAGCTACTTAGGAGGCTGAGGTGGGAGGATTGGCTGAGCCCAGGAGGTCGAGGCCATGGTGAGCCATGATCGTGCTACTGTACTCCAGCCTGGATGACAGAGCGAGACCCTGATTCAAAAAAAAAAAAAAAAGGCCAGGCACAGTAGATCACCCTGTAATCCCAGTACTTTGGGAGGCCGAGGCAAGAGGATTGCCTGAGCCCTGGGGTACGAGACCAGCCCAGGTAACTTGGCGAGACCTCGTCTCTACAATAAGTCACAAAAAAACTAGATGGTGGCATGCATCCGTAGTTCCAGCTACTTGGAAGGCTGAGGCGGAAGGATCACCTGAGCCCAGCAGGTCAAGGCTGCGGGGGCCGTGAGCGTGCCACTGCACTCCAGCCTGAGTGGCAAGAGTGAGAATCCAACTCAAAAATACAAAACAAAACAAAAAAACCCAACACAGATCACCAGGCGTCACCACCTGCATCTCTGACTCAATAGGTCTGGGGTGGTAGCCCGGGTGCTGAATCAGCCACATGCTCCCAGGTGAGGCTGCGGTGTGGATCCGGGGAGTGGGCCCTGAGAATGGCTGGTGTATTGACGGGCTGAGAAAGGACACGCTGTCCTCTGGCAGCCTGTGATCAGGTGAGGAGTTAAGACTTGGCCTCCTGGAAATGTCAGAATCCCTCGCCAGATGGCCCAGGTCCCAGACAGGTGAGGGGGCAATCAGGTGACTCACCACGGTGGCCAGCTCCCGGTCCTCCGTGTTGTAGGTACAAGAGGTGATGAGCACGTCTCCCTGGGGGAACCAAAGGCCCCATCAGCACCGGCCGCCGGTGTCACCAGGAGTGCAAGGCCCAGCCCCGGTGGGATCACGACTCCGTGTACCACGGCCCGAGCTGGGGTGCGACTGGTGTGGTCTGCTACAAGGAGCCCAGCAGCGGCCCCCGCACCCACCCCACACACATGAGGGGCACAACCTGTGTCCCATTAGCTCCTGTGACTCAGTGGGTGCCCTCCCATGAGGACACGGGCTGTAGACAGGGCCCGGACTGGCGACTACAGCTCAAGGGTGAACTCGGCAAGTCGGCTGGGAACTGAGGTTTCCCTTCTGTGTGATCAGGGGCTCCCTTGCCCACCTCAGCATCCTCAACTTGTCCTTAAGGCTCTTGAGTTTGGAGTCTGGCTGATCCCTTTTCTTCTTTTCTTTTTTGTCTTTTTTTGGTTTTTGTTTTTTGAGTCGGAGTCTCACTCTGTCGCCCAGGCTTGAGGGCAGTGGCCGCTCCCGGCCACTGCAGCCTCGACCTGCTGGGCTCCGGAGATCCTTCCGCCTCAGCCTTCCAAGTAGCTGGAACTACAGGCACGTGCTACCATGCCCGGCTCATTTTTGATTTATTGTAGAGATGAGGTCTCGCCAAGTTGCCCAGGCGGGTCTCAAACCCGCGGGCTCAGGCAATTCACTCACCTCAGTCTCGCAAAGCACGGGATTACAGGCTGAGCCCCCGAGCCCGGCTTTTTTTTTTTTTGAGTTGGGGGTCTCACTCTCTCGCCCAGGCTAGAGTGTAGTAGCATGATCATGGCTCACTGCAACCTCAACCTCCTGGGCTCAGGCGATCCTCCTGCCTCAGCCTCCCGAGCAGCTGAGACCACAGGTATGCGTCGCCATGCCTGATTCATTTTTTAATTTTTTGTAGAGATGAGGTCTCACCGAGTTGCCCAGGCTGGTCTCAAACTCCTGGCCTCAAGCAGTCCTCCTGCCTCAAGCTCCCAAAGCGCTGAGATTACAGGTGTGAGCCACCATGCCTGGCCTCCTCTTCTGATGTGCCCGTGAACCCCCACGTGAATCTCCCCATGAGGCAGCACCAGACCCCGACCCCTCTCAAGCCTACCCCCTCCCCTGTGTGACTCTCCCCTCCCCCATCGCTTGCTCTGTCTCCCTGGGGGTGGCACTTTCCAGCCAGTGGCGGAGAGGCGGCCTCCCTGCCTCTGCCCAGGCACTCACCGGGTGGACCGACACGATCTTCTTCAGCATGCGGATCTCCTGGGGTGGGCAGAGCGGAGAAGGGAGCCGAAGAGCGGACTTCAGAGAGCAGCAGACCCAACTCCCAGCCACCCTGTTCTCCCTCGGGCCTCCCTCCGAGAGCCAGCCTCGCTGACTGCTGGGAGCCTCTCTGCGGGAGGCTGAATGTGGCCTCTGGCCAGGGAGGGAACTTGATTGGAACAAGAAGCTTGCTACCCAGGACGGGTGTGACCAGGGGCCTGCCCGGGTCCCCCAAACCCCACCACAACCACGCGGGGCCCGCCCTTAGAGGCAGACCCCAGGGTGGGGCCGACCCGTCGCCGGGCCTGGCCCAGAACAAGCCATTTCTCCGGCTAACAGGGGAGAGATGGTCAAGCAGGCCGGCGGGGCTGGGCCCTACCTGGAAGTGGGGGCTGTAGTGATTGTCCCTGTTCACGATCTCCGCTTCCCGGCCGTCCCGGGCCAGGACGGTGACCACCTTCCTCCCGGTCAGGTGTGTGTGCAGCTGAGAGGCAAAGATGTGGATCCCGGAGGAAGGCAGGGCCTGCGGGGCACGAGCGACATTCAGGGCCTGACCCCTGCGTCCCTGGCCATGCTCTCTGGTCTAGGACCCAGCAGGGAACAGCCCACACAGAGCTGGTCTGCTTCCCTGGGACATTTGTCGGTTCTAGCTCTTTCCAGCTGGTCAGGTTAGACTCCCCATCAGGACCTTGCAGGGGGCTGGGCAAGGTGGCTCACGCCTGTAGTCTCAGCACTTTGGGAGGCCTAGGCGGGAGGAGCGCTTGAAGCCAGGAGTTCAAGACCAGCCTGGGTAACATAGCCAGGCGTGGTGGCACGCTCTTCTAGTCCCACCTCCTCAGGAGGATCACTTGAGTTCGATGCAGCAGTGAGCCATCATCACGCCACTGGACTCTAGCCTGGGCGACGGAGTAAGACTCTGACTCAAAACAAACAAATAAGATCCTCACAGGGTGACAAGAGTGAGATGGCCTCAACGGCCCAGGTCTGCCAACACAGCCTCCTGGAGATTCATCCGGGCACAGATGCTGTCCTGGGCCTGCGGTCCTCCCTCGAGCCCTGAAGCCTGATCGGGCCATCTTCACTCCGTCCACAGGCCTTCCAGGAGGGCACCCCATGGGCAGGGTCCGCGTGGACAGATGTGGCCTTCTTGCCCATGGGCCCCTGTCGGATGATCAGCAAGCCCCAGTGGTAGGTCAGACTTTGCAGCCCACCACGTGGCAGGCCTGGGTGGGCCCTTCGGCCGTCCTATGGCATGGCCCCATTCCATCTGCAAAACGTCCCCCCTGTGGCCACCCTTGCCTGGCTCTGCCGCCGACCCAGCGCTGGCTGCACGGACAAGAAGGTAGCCGTCACATCAAGAGGCTTTGTGTCGGCCGGGCTCGGTGGCTCAGCCTGTAATCCTGTGCTTTGGGAGGCCGAGCTGAGTGAATTGTCTGAGCCCGCAGGTTCGAGACCCGCCTGGGCAACTTGATGAGACCTCATCTCTACAATCAATCAAAAAAATGAGCCGGGCGTGGTAGCGCGCACCTGTAGTTCCAGCTACTTGGAAAGTGGAGGCGGAAGGACCACCGGAGCCCAGCAGGTCGAGGCTGAGGTGGCCGGGAGTGGCCACTGCACTCCGGTCTGGGTGACAGAGTGAGACTCCAACTCACAAAAAAAAAAGAGGCTTTGTGTCATCATGGGAGGCTGAGGGAACTTTCCAGAGGATGAAAGTTTCCCCTCACCTGAGGTTAACTTTTTTAGATAGAAAAGAACTGTCAGCAGGTGCAGAGCCCCAGGGGCTGTGACCCCGTCCCTGGAGGACCAGGTGGTTGTGCTTTTGCACGGATGCTGCCACATCCGCACCTTCTGTCTCTCTCCCAGCCAGCTGCTGCCCGGACTTTGTCATCATGGAGACCTCTGGGCCCCTCGCGATGACTAATGTGTGACCACCATGTGCCGGGCCTGGGAGCCCCTGCTAACGTGGGGCCTGTGGCCCTCAGAGGCCGACCCTGGCCTGGAGACAACGGCATCAGGCAGGTGGAGGGAGGCGTGGGTTCTGCAGGCGACTCTGGTCCCAACAACACACTTGCTTGGCCAGTCTCTGTGACTCGGATGTCTAGACTCTGCCAGACTTTTGACCAAAGAGTGTCAGCCCCTCTCCTACCTGCTGAAGAAGAGACAAGACCAAACACTGGTTTTGTCACCATGATGTAGGGGAGGACCCCAGTGAGCGGATGTGAGTTGGCATCTCTAGGGCTGGAGAGGGTGTTCTCAGCTCAGAGGGGTCAGAGGGCCCTGCCTCCCTGTGAGGGACCAACTTTCCCCTAAGCCCTGGTCAGGGAGTGTCTTCATGGCCCCAAATTTCAGCAGTGGGGGCTTTGGAGAAGTGAGAACACAGGGTGTGGTTCAAGATTCTTCACCCCAGGTCTCAGGCAAAAAAAGCTGATTGACAGCAAGAGAAAAGGCGTGCGGTCCCGGCTGATGGCTTCGTTTCTCCTCAGCTCCGAGGACACTTGCCTAATGCTCAGAAGACGGTGCCGGCCAGGCTCGGTGGCTCAGTCTGTCATCCCAGCACTTTGGGAGGCCGAGGCGAGTGAATTGCCTGAGCCCACGGGTTCGAGACCCTCCCGGGCAGCTTGGAGAGACCTCGTCTCTACAATAAATCAGTAATTAGCCAGATGTGGTAGTGTGCACCTGTAGTTCCGGCTACTTGGAAGACTGAGGTGGAAGGATCGCCAGACCCGGCAGGTCGAGGCTGCGGTGACCGGGAGTGTGTCACGGCACTCCAGTCTTGGTGACAGAGTGAGACTCTAACTCAAAAAAAAAGAAGATCATGCCACTCCGGGACCTTACCCACAGGAAGAACAAATCCCAATTGATCGAGTCATGGGATGAAAAGAAAATTCACGACTTAAGACCACATTAAAAGCAACCTGTTGCCAAGGGCACAGCTTTCAAAGTCAGACAATGGTATTTCAATCCTCACTCCACAGCTACTGGCACTGTGACCTTAGCAAGCCTCAGCCTCCTCATCTGTGAAACGGGCACATCCATGCCAACTTACTTACAGGTAATTGTGAGAAGTAAGAAAATGTCTGCCACATACACAACAAACTATGACATCATGCCCGTCATATATAAAGAGCTCCTAGAAACCAACAGTTAGAGAGACAAATAGTCCATTAGAAAAACTGCACAAAGGAATGAACAGATATTCACAGAAAGAACACATGGCCAAGAGGCAGATGAAAAAGTTCCTCAAGTCCACAAAGGGTCAGAAAAGTCAAGTTGAACAGCACTGTGATATCTTTCTCCACTCATGGCATTGCTGATGCAAAGTGTCCATGAGTCTGGGGACCCAGCGCCCTTGTGTACCATGTGCAGGAAAAAGGGGCAGAACTGGCTTTCAGAAGGACACTTTGGAAGATCTATTAAAAAATGTCCATGTCCTCTGTGGGCAGCAACTTCACTTCTAGAAATCTCTGGGATGAAACATGTTCCCTTGGCCAGACACGGTGGCTCACATCTGTCATCCCAGCACTTTAGGAGACTGAGGCAGGAAGATTGCTTGAGCCCAGGAGTTTGAGACCAGCCTGGGCAGCATAGGGAGACCTTGTCTTTACAAAAAATTAGCCAGGCATTGTGGGGCGTGCCTGTAGTCTCAGTTACTTGGGAGGCTGAGGTGGGAGGATTTCCCGAGGCCAGGAGGTTGAAGCTGTGGTCAGCAGTGATTGTGTCTCTGCATTCCAGCCTGGGCAAAAGAGTGAGACCCCGACTCAAAAAAAAAAAGCTTCCACATAAACAACGATCAACGATCTCTCTGCAGCCTTCTCTATGGGTGCAGAGTTGTCAAGAGCCGCAACGTGGATGGACAGGGAAACAGTTAAGCACAAACCAGGACCAGGAGGACACAAGCACCCCAGAAGCTGAGACCCCACTGTTGGTGCCAGCATCTAAATACAACCTGTACCCCCACCCTGCATGCAGGATGGGTGCTCCCTGAAATTTTACACCCCAGGGAAACTTTTGGCTTTCCCTGGTCCCACCCTGGCCACATACACAGTGAAAAACCCCGACCTGTGGCATACTATGCAGCAATGAAAAAAACAAACCACAGGCAAATTATTCCACACGTTGAATCATTTGTAAACTATTCCATAGGGTTAAAACACACACACACACACACACACACACACACACACACACACACACACACACACGGTTCCCATCATCTGGAAGGGCATGTAGAGATATACAGAAGAATAGTCTAGAAGGACACAAAGATCCAATAAGTAGATCTCTCAGGGCGAGACTTGAGAGGTTGAGAGGGCCTGCAATTCTGAGTGGTAAAGGTGTGTGTCATGACTTACATAATGAAAGTGTTGTGTTTTTTTTTCCAAATCAAAGTCTCACTCGGTCCCCCAGGCTGGAGTACAATGGCATGATCACGGCTCTCTGCAGTCTTGGCCTCCTGGGCTCAGACAATCCTCCTGCCTCAACCTCCCGAGTAACTGGGACTATAGTCACGCACCACCACACCTGAATGATTTTCAGATTTTTTTGTAGAGATGAGGTCTTGCCATGTTGCCCAGGCTGCTCTCAAAACTGCTAGGCTTCAGCAATCTCTCCACCTTGGCCTCCTAAAGTGCTGGGATTACTGGCATGAGCCACTGTGACTGGCCGAAAGTGTATTTTTGTTTTTAATCCAAGTCTCACTCCGTCGCCCAGGCTGGAGTGCAGTGGCATGCTTACGGCCACCCCAGCGTCGACCCGCTGGGCTCCGGCGGTCCTTCTGCCTCAACCTTCCAAGTAGCTGGAAATACAGGCGCATGCTACCAGGTCCAGCTAATTTTTTAAAAATTTATTGTAGAGACAAGATCTCACGCCAAGTTGCCCAGGCTGCGCTTGAACCCATGGGCTCAGGCAATCCCCTCACCTCGGCCTCCCAAAGCACTGGGATTACAGCAAAAGCATATTTTAAACTGCGGCACACGGAAGCTGGACACATGGGTGTGGACCCATGTGAGCTGCAGCGGTTATTGGAGAAGGAGGGTCAGTCAGGTGCACAAATGTCCTCTTGGCAGTGGGGGAGGAGGTGTTCCCTTGCATGCAGGGCTGGGAGGGGATTCGGGGGCAGAGTCAAAGCCGTACAAGCCACCCAGGAAGGGCCACCACCTGCGGGGGCCTCGGCAGGGCAAGGGGATAGGGCACGGCACCACTCACCAGCTGAGTGCACTTGTCGGTGCAGTAGCCAGTGAGGACAAAGGCGGTCTCCCGCGGGGGGATGGCCATCACGGGCGTGTACACCAGCCCAAGCTCCATGATCCCTGCATTAAAGCGCCGCGGTGTGGCCGTGTAGTACAGGCGGATCCCAGAGGAGTCGTGCCGGCCTGGGAGAAGGCGGGGTGGGCGGAGGGGGGTGGTCAACCGAGGCCCTCTGGTCTCCCACTGCAGGGAGGTCACCCGAGGCCACAGGCGCCCACGCCCAGGAGGTGAAGTCGGTCGCCCCACCTGCTCCCACCTGCTGGGCAGACTGAGAGCCAATGTCCTCGTGCCCTCAGCTTTGGACTCCAGGTGGACACAAGAATCAGTGAACGCCCACGATGCAGTGCCCGTGGGGAAGACAGAGTGGGTGGTTTTTTTGTTTGTTTGTTTTGAGTTGGGGTCTCACTCTGTTGTCCAGGCTGGAGTGCAGTGGCGCGATTGTGGCTCACTACAGCCTCGACCTCCTGGGCTCAGGAGATTCTCCTGCCTCAGCCTCCCTTGAAGCTGGGACTACAGGTGCAGGCCACCACACCCAGCTGATTTTTAAATTTTTTTGTAGAGACAGGGTCTCACTACATTGACCAGCTGGTCTCGAACTCCTGGGTTCAAGTGATCCTCCTGCCTTAGCCTCCCAAAGTGCTGGGATGACAGGCATGAGCCACCACGCCTGGCCTGGAGCTGTTGTTTCCACGAGAACTAGTCAAATGCTCTGGGAAGACCTGATAAAGCGAGTGACTTAAAACACACTGTGGAGTCAGGGGTGTTGAGGTGCCGATGGCGGGTTTGGAGGTTCATAGACAAGGTGGATTCTGTGCTCAGACAGTCCTGCAGGTGCTTTGATGTGCTTCCTCCACGATCAAAGGAACCCAAGTGGGAAATCAGCCTGCAGGGTGTGATCCCGGCAAGGAAGAGGGCCTGGAAGTACCAAGTCCCCTCTGCTCATCCCTCTCGCAGGAGAGCCTTGGACCCGTCAGAGCTGGGTGAGTGGGAGCACGTCTGTGCGTGGCGGCTAATGAGACGTGTTCAGGGACACACCTCCCACTTATACTGCCTTGAGGACTGTGCTGCAGGATCAAGACAGACCCAGGAAAGCCTCCCAGGAGAGACTGAGCTGGATCGTGGCCCCCAGAAGTAGGACCAGCAGGAAAGGTTGAGCCCACACGTCCCCAGTGCCCCCTGGTCGACAGCGTGCTGTGTGCTCTCGAGTGACTCACTGTCCCTCTCTGGGCCTCAGCTCACAGTCAGGGGATTCTGCCAAAGGAAAAATTCAGGGCTTCCTCCAGTCATGGAGACGGTGCATGTCTCCTGATGGTGGGTGAGTCACACCTGGCATTTCTTCTTGCATTTTTCTGTTTAGAGAGTCCCTGGACAGGCCTCCTAGAGGTCATAAGAAACTGATGGCCAGGGGGCCGGGGGTCCACACAGCCACGCATCCTCCAGGGAGTCCCACCCCTCCTGAGACGCCATGCTGTGGGAACCAGTCGGCGGCCTGGCTCTGAGTACTGGCAGTGCCCTTGCGGGGAGGGGGTGGTCTCAAGGCCTGGCTGTGGCCCCAGGTCCTTGGACACACAGCAGAGGTGGGACTCCCCGGATTATGAGAGGGGAAGGGGTGTCAGGCAACAAGGAACGTGAAATTGGCAAGGGGTCTTAATGCAGAGGGACAATACTTCTGATAAGATTAAGGGAAAAGAGGCCAGGTGTGGTGCCTCACGTCTGTAATCCCAACACTTTGGAAGGCCGGGGCGGGAGGGTTGTTTGAGTCCAGGAGTTCAAGACCAGCCTGGATAACACAGTGAGACCTTGTCTCTATAAAAATTCAAAAAAATAGCCAGGCAGGGTGACACGTCCTGTAGTCCCGGCTACTTGGGAAGCTGAGGCAGGAGGATCACCTGTGCCCAGGAGGTCGAGGCCGTGGTGAGCCGTGATCATGCCACTGCACTCCAGCCTGGGCGGCAGAGTGAGACCCTCACTTAAAAATAAAAAAGATGACGCCCAAGACAAGTTCTCTTGCCTCTGCCTCCCACCCCGTAAAATTCCCTTACAACATCCAAATTCAAACAGCTCTCGTATCTCTGGGCTGATTACATCAGAGGATAATAATAAAAAGGGTGTTGCCATTGGTTAGAATTCAGAAAGGGATTAAATCATGAAATAATTGTGGGATTTTGATATTTATAGAAAAGCAGCCCATCTCAAGATTTGTGGAGTGACAGGGGCGTCCTTATATTTGCCAAAGGATCCATAAATATAACGAAATAATCAGGAAGAGACAGACTTCCCCGATGCTTAAAGAGTTTTCAAAAAATCCATTTGCTTTCGGGTTTTAAATGCACAATAAATCCCGTATCATACTAAGGCCCAAGCTGACTTAGAACCTTCTTTGTGCATGTGTACATAATTCCCGCAGTGGCTGAAAGTAGTCACTTATGCAGCCAGGAAAAAAAAAAAATCACCGGCGGCTGTGAGTTGAGCACAGCCCTGCGCCTACATCAAGTTGGGAGGATTATGTGCGTAAACGTTTCCCAGACACGTAGCAGTTGTGGGAGTTGAGAAAAAGGGACAGGTTAAGGTCACCCCGCCAGGGTCACTGCACTGGCAAGGTGTAGGCTAGGACCTAGCCTGGAGTCGATGCTGTCAGCTAGTAGGCTGTTTCTGCCCCTTGTCTGCCCAGATGAAAATGACTGCTGTTCCAAAACAGTGTGTGTGTGTGTGTGTGTGTGTGTGTGTGTGTGAGACTATATATGGCAGACAGGACAGGTGCAACAGAAAGAGAGAAATATTTTCGGCTTCTGATACAATGCCAACTGGCATTGCCACCCTAAAGACAGACTGACTGTTCCACCTTCAGGTACGGGGAGATCCAGCTGCAGCTGCTGTCTGCTCCCAGCGCCCCTTCCCAAACCCTACACGGCAGCCAAGCTGGGCCTCCTGCGTTCCTAGAATATACTCTCGACTTTGCCCCCTCCTTGTCTATGCACAGACTGTTTCTGGACTGTGGCCCCCGGCAGCTTCCCTCGTGAAAACCCTCCTTGTCCTCCAAGGCCCTTGTCAAATGCCACCACGATGTCACCCATACCACGTGGACCCTGACCTATTTTGTTTCCCGTGTGTGTGTGCACGTGTGTGCATGCCCCTATTTCATCTCCCTTCCAGAAGCTTTCTGAGGGCATGGACATGTCTTGCTCATCCTGATATTCCCCTCAGAGTTGGAAACAACATCCCTCATGCGGTGGCCTCCCATAAATGTTGATTGTATTGAAACTCTTTTCTGCAGTTCTCAGACCGTTGTACCAACGGGGCAAAACCGAGGAAGCAGGTGAGTGGGAAGGGCCCTTGTGCCTGCACGTCTGAGCTAAGTTGGACGTGGGTTGCTGCCTGGGCACTGAAACACACGGCCAGGACATGAGCCCAGGGGAAGGGCACATGAGCCCAGGGGTGATGGAGGGTAGGTCATTTCCCCCTTCTGAGCATAAGGCATTCTGTGGTGACTAGGGGAACAAGGTTGCCATCCCACATACTTCTCATGGGGGAGGGCTTGTCTTCACTGAGTGTTGAGGTGCTTATAAGCTCAAGAGCACTAAACAAATACACATACGACACAAAGCCGCCCTCCAGTGCCCAGGGCAGACATCACGAGTCAATTACGGCATAGTCAATTGCAGCACCGCCCTGCTGGGCCCAGGTGGGCCTGAGATTCCCTCCGGCCGGACACTCTCCACAATGCTGCCAATCAGCAGAGAGTCCCGTGAGCAATACCTACTTGTCGCCCTTGACACATACACTCGGGGTAGAGAGCCCACGGGCCTACTCACCCTCAGTGCCACAGGCTCTGTTGGACCGTGTTTTCAGAAGACACGCTTGTAGCCAAAAAACGCCCCCGAGGGGACTAGGACTGTCCCTTTCCCAGGGAACATCTCGGGGGTGGAACCTCCCACTGGTCAGGCCATCAGAGGAAGGGTTGGGGGGGTCCTGGCAGCGACCACTGTGGACTCTGGAATGACCTGTCACCCCGCCATCCTGCCCGATGCCCTGTCCTGGCCCCACGTGTCCTGGAGAGGTCGGAACCACAATCTGAGGGTGCTGGGGGGTCATCCCGTTAGGGAGGGGCAGTCGGGGGTGGGAGGAAACTGCTGTCTGAGTGGCCCTGTGAGACGTAGATCTGTGGGGGGAGGGGAGGGTGGCACACAGGGCACCTCCAGCCCGAGCCCTCCACCTCTCTCTGCCACCCTCCCTCAGACCTGCTGGTTCGCACACACCCCAAAGCTAGCTTCCCGCCCTGGCTGGTGCTGTGGGGCAGGGCCACGCGGGCTCAGCCTGATCCAGCCTCTAAACATCAGGAGAGCCAGCGCGACAGCTTTGGAACCCGGCCAGCCTTGCCAGGTTCAAGTGCAGGCCACGTGCCCGAGGCCGAGGACGTGACAGAGCCAGGCCTCAAATCCCGACTCACCCCATGACCCTGGTGCTGTCCCTTCACCTCTGGGCCTTAGTTTTTCTCAGCTGCAAAATGAGGAGGCAAGAAGCCTCTGCCTGGCCTTTGCCAGGTGGGAGCCCCTGGGACGGCGCCGTGTCCACGGCAGCTGGTGTCATGGCCAGCGTCTCAAGGCGGAAGGGAGGCGGAGGGGCTGAGTCCCTGCGGATGGTTCCTGCTGGGATGAACTGACCCCACCAAGTCCTCGGGTCTACGGCAGCCAGGGGTGATGGAGCGTGATGCAGGGCCTCGTGCCATGTGACGGAAGACTCCAGCTCCGGGGAGGGGGTATGGCGCCCCGCAGACAGTGCGTGATCTCCCCCCGACTCCACACAGCTGGGCCCTGGGGTGTCTGAAGGTGGTGCCCAAGCTCTTACCTTGGATCTTCAGAGGGTTGTGGTAGTGAACTTCCAGACGGAGAAATCTGGAGGACCCAGTCCCCCCAAAAGGCAGGCCAGCCTCTTCTGGGTAGTAAAATGCCTGCAGGAGGGACAGCAGTGTCAGGCAGACCCAGGTGTCATGAGAGGCCCCGGGCGTGGGTCAGGGGCAAACCCACCCGACCGTTGGGGCCCGAGCTAAAGGGGTGGTGGGGTCCGAGCGACACTCTCCTGCCGACAGGGGGCCCGTTACTGCTCCCAGGGATGTCCTGTGAGACTCGGGTCAGGGAGACGGGGAGGGAACCGGTGCCCTTCCCCCCGGCCTCTTCCCTGGACTGGTGGACAAGTCGATGAGACCCCCACGGGCACAACCACGGGCCCTACCCCAGGACCACCCTGTGCACAAAACCCTCTGACCCGCCAAGTGCACGGGCCCGTGGGAACCTTGCGTTTTTTTTTGTTTTTTGGGTTTTTTTTTGAGTTGGAGTCTCACTCTGTCACCCAGACTGGAGCGCAGTGGCCACTCCCGGCCACCGCAGCCTTTACCTGCTGGGCTCCAGCGATCCTTCCACCTCAGCCTTCCGAGTAGCCAGAACTACAGGCGCACACTACCACGCCTGGCTGATTTTTGATTTATTGTGGAGATGAGGTCTCTCCAAGTTGCCCGGGTGGGTCTCGAACCTGTGGGCCCAGGCCATCCACTCACCTCAGCCTCCTAAGGCGCGGGATTACAAGCTGAGCCATCGGGCCCGGCTTGAACCTTGTGTTTTTATAGCAAAGAAACGAAGGCCGGAAGAAGGCTTTACAGCACAAAGGAACGTGGGATTCAGATATCACAGAGGCCTCTCGCGGCACGGGCCCTTCCTGTTGGCCTCACAAGCACCCTTGGGAGCCTCCTTCCTGGGGCCTCCGGGACGGCGGGGCTGGGGACACAGAGGCAGGGGCCTCGGCCCCGAAGACTCACCTTGGCGCCCAGGGCCCAGGCGGCCAGCACGTGACGGCAGTGGTTGAGCCGTTCGGGCTTCATCTTGGAGTCGCAGGGTCCGTTGAAGTGGGGCACCGTCTCGAACTCGAGGGCACACTGGAAGACCTCCATGTGGTGCACAAGGGCCTCGTTGCCCTCAGTGATGATGGGCTCATACTGCGGGGGAGGCAGCCCCTGAGCCGGGGAACCGGATGCCCGCCCACCCCTCCCTCCGCCGCTGGCTGGGGCCTCCCCTCCGTGGGCCTCCGTTTGTCCAACTCTAAAACGGGTGGGATGGCCAAGGCCACTTCCAGGGGCGCTCCTGGGGCTCAGGGCCACGAAGGTGGAAGAGTCGCCAACTCAGAACCGGGTGGAATCTTCCAGAAGCCCACAGAGAGCCCCAGAGTGCAGGAAATCTGAGGATGCAGACAAGCCATTTCCTGACGAGGTGGGGACGGAAAGGCAGCCGTCCTCAGAGTACAGGGTCGTGGCTGGGTTCCTGTGTCTCCATCGGGAGGCAGGGCCCAAGCACACCTTTGAGGTTGGTGGCTTCCTGCTGTGTGACTTTGGGTACTTACATAACCTCTCTGGGCTACACTTTCCCTTCTGGAAACAGGGACAGCACCTAGACCTGGGTACTAAGGTGATAAAGTGGGCGGTCGCCATGCCCCTGCCCTAGCGCCAGGCAAATAGTGGACATCCCACCGCTATTGCCTTGACTGGGAGAGGGTGACAATTTAGTGCCATTGAGTTCTCTGTTGAGCTGCTTTTACACACAAGGGAGAGGAGGCCTGACAGACAGGGGGACAGCAGCTCCAGTCCCAAGGGAAGATGCAGAAATCTAGATCGTGGAGAAAAATGCAGACCAAGTAGGCCAGCAACCATTGGGTAAGTTGACGAAGGAAATCTCAGGACGAGATTTTACATAGATCTTGGTTGCTGCGGCCCAGGCAAGGGAACTGGAGCCCAGAGGCACTTTGAGGGTGAGACAGGGTGACAGGGGCCTGGAGGACACTTGCTGCCTCGAGGGACTTTGAGCGGGGGCCTGAGGCTAGGGCAGTAAGAGGACACCTGGTCAGTCAGGACCCTAGACAGCTCCTTGGGGTCTGGAATAACCGAGGTCCCAGAGGAAGGAAGGGTGGGGTGAGACCTGGCCCCAGAACTCAAGTACCATGACGATGTGGTGCCGGGAGAAGCCGTGGGGAAGCTCTGTGATGTAGCACCAGTACGTGGTCTCCTGGCCGGGGATCAGGACGTTGGGGGCGCGGATCTCCATGGTGCGTGTGTCGGACGGCATGGCTGGGATCGGGATGTCGGGTTTCAGGAGCTGCACCCTCTGTAGCCCCGTCTTCAGGTCTGAGGTGTTGATGGCCTCCAGGGACTGGAACGGCTTCTCCAGGATCCCGTACACCAGGTGGACGGTGCCGTCCTGCAGCAGGGACCAGGCCCCGTCAGCCGCCCATGCAGAGTCCCCAGAGTCAGGCTCCGGAGGGGATGCCATGGCCCTGCCCACCCACACCTGACCAGTGACACACTGCACCCCCGTCTCTGCAAACGAGGGGACCCTCAGGGCTCTGCATGGCCCCAGCTGGGCTCAAATCCCAGACTGACCACTCCCAGCACCCCCACTCGCACCATGCATCAAACACAATTTTTTTTTTTGAGTTGGAGTCTCACTCTGTCACCCAGACCGGAGTGCAGCGGTCACTTCCGGCCACCGCAGCCTCGACCTGCTGGGCTCCGGCGATCCTTCCGCCTCAGCCTTCCGAGTAGCTGGAACTACAGGCACGCGCTACCACACCCGGCTGATTTTTGATTTATTGTAGAGATGAGGTCTCGCCAAGTTGCCCAGGCGGGTCTCGAAACTGCGGGCTCAGGCAATTCATTCACTTCAGCCTCCCAAGGCGCAGGATTACAGGCTGAGCCATCGAGCCCGGCTCAAACATATTTTTTAAAAAGGCCAAGCACAGTGGCTCATGCCTGTCATCCCAGAACTTTGGGAGGCCGAGGCAGGAGGATTGCTTGAGCCCAGGAGTTCAAGACCAGACTGAGAAACACAGTGAGACCTTGTCTCCACCAAAAAATTTTTAAAATTGGCAGGGTGTGGTGGCGTTCGCCTGTAGTCCCACCTATTCGGGAGGCTGAAGTGGGAGGATCAACTGAGCCCAGGAGGTTGAGGCTGCCGTGAGCCAGGATTGTGCCACTGCACTCCAGCCTGGGTGACAGAGTGAGACCCCGACTCAAAAATAATAATAATAAAATAAAGTAACAAGACAATCTATCTACCTTGCTTATTACCCATTCACCTAGAAATGTCCATTTGCCCCACACCTCCCAGAAGGAGGACACCTCTTCTGGCTCCAGCTCTGCCCCTGGTGTGCCGCGAGCCCCTGGGTGAGCCCACCTCATCTCTGGGCCTTGGTTTCTGCACGTGGCAACCCGGCAGCTGTTCTATCTCCTTAGATGTGGTGTCTGTCTGTCCACGTGGTGCCCGTTAATGAAATCGCAGAGCCCATCATTGTTTACCCTCACCCGCGACGAGCTCTCATGGGTGCAGAAAAATCACATCCTAAACCCTCAGACCCATCCCAAGCCCATGTCCCCAGCCTCCACCTCCTCCTGACTCTCATGCCCCAAGCCGGTGTTGCCCCAGCCCTAAATCACCCCAGGGCCAGGAACCAGGCAATTAGAGAACCCTCCCTGTAGCCCGGAGACTGCTGGAATTATTCAAACTAAGCGACTTCCCGAACCCTGCTGTCCTTTCCAGTGGAGATCCCAATAAAGGCTCTGGCCTGGGCTCTCCCCTCGCTCCTGCCTCTTCTCCTTACCAAACCTGGGGTCCTCACGTGGCCCTGAGGGACACAGGTGCCTCTTCTCTGTCTCAGGAAATGCAAGAGATTGGCTTTCAACGGCCCTGGCCTCTGCGTGTGGGCATTTGGTCACCCCCATGGATTAAGACCTGGCACCGACTGTCAGCCCATGTCACTGCCGTACCCAAGGGTTTCACAGGTGGCCAAGTGGGCAAGAAGGCTTAAATGGTTAACTTTTAGACTATGATCCCAAAAGGGCTTGCAATAGGGTGATCACACACCTGTGTGCTCAAGGGCAAGGTGAATTGTTTTCCCTAATGGCGGGGAGGGGTGGTCTCAGAGCAGAATAAGAAGCCTGTGGTTTTCTAGGTCTGTCTTGTGTCCGTGAACTCCCAGGCAAAGTTGGCCTGCCCTCACAGATGATCTAGTTTCCATGCCCATTTAACATAGAGGCAAACCAAGGTCCAGAGGAGGAAGGGACCGGCCCCAAGCCTCACAGCAAGTTGGCGACAGGCAGGCACAGAAAGCCAGGCTTCCTGGACTCATTCCAGAATTCCACCTGAAGATGATGGGACCGGGGTGGAGAAACACCCAGGAGCAAGCTCTTGTCAATTTGAGAGGCTCTGGGGCAAGACCCGCGTCTAGAAACCATGCCGGCCATGTGTCAGCCGAGAGCTACTTCTTGGAGGGTCCCTGGGCTGGAAGCAGAGCTGGCCCACCCTAAACTGTCTCCACTAAGCTGGCTGCCTCTGGGCCACCCTTCTGGCTGACTCTCCACCATTGCTGGCCCAGGCCCAGGACCGGGTCTCTGATTTATCAGGGACAGGAGAGGGTCATAGCCTGACACTGATCCTCGCAGCCCTCGCTGTCCCAGCCATTTGGGGCCATCACCTACCTCAATGAGGTAATCCTTGGGGTCACAGGTGCCAAAGGGCCTCTTGAAAAGCAGGGACAGGCCTTCCGGGGTCTTCTGTGCCCACAGCAGCTGGTAGTCCTGCTGGGGATCCAGGTGGACCTGTCCCTTCTGGTCACTCCAGGCATCCTGCGGAGGCAAGCGCCGGCTCTGAGCACGCTGAGCTGCGCAGGCCTGATCCACAGGGGCAGAGGTGCCTGGGGCCCTCCTTGGTGCAGACCTCACTTCCAGTGGATCGGGGGTTCTGCCTGGGGCTGGGTGTTCACCCACACTCTCTACATCTGCTTCTGCCTGGAGGGAGCACAGGGGAGCCCCAGTGGTGCCCACATTCTCTGCGGCCATGAACTGGGGCTCTCAAACACCAGCCGGGTCATGGGGCTGTCAGCCATGAGGGTTCCCAGACTTCAGCTGGGACACATGACTTGTTAAGAAGGTGCCCCACCGACCAGGCGCGATGACTCATGCCTGCCATCCCAGACCTTTGGGAGGCCCAGGCAGAAGCATTGCTTGAGCCCAGAAGTTCAACATCAGCCTGGACAACATAGCAAGACCTCATCTCCTCAAAAAATTTAGGCCGGGCGTGGTGGCTCAGCCTGTCATCCCAGGACTTTGGGTGGTAGAGGCGAATGGATTGCCTGAGCATGAGAGTTCGAGACCAACCCAGGAAACTTGGCAAGCCCTCATCTCTACAATAAATCAAAAAATTAAGCCGGGCTCAGTGGCTCAGCCTGTAATCCTGCGCCTTTGGGAGGCTGAGGTGAGTGGATTGCCTGAGCCCGCAGGTTCGAGACCCGCCTGGGCAGCGAGACCTCATCTCTACAATAAAT